TGTAGGATGCTGAGTCCGTATTGTTAGGTAACTACCTTGCTTACTAGTTATTTATAGGGGAGGAAGTAGGAAGTGAATAACCACAAGTTGTTGACTGTTGTTGCTGTTGTGTTGCCTGGTTGTCAGTTGGGGAAAATTTTGAAACCAAGTGTTGGAGGAAAATTTTGAAACCAAGTGGCGAAGGAAATACGGTATTGGAGGAAATATGAATAACAATAAACCACAGTCCACAAGTGTTGGTTGTTGTTGCCTGTGGCTGTGCCTGTTTGGGGAAAATTTTGAAACCAAGTAATGCTATTTAATAAATAGGTAATTGTCTTGCTATAAATTTCATATTTTATTTTCTTTATTTACATTTCACATCCAAATCCAATTCCTATTTATTACAATCGATAATGGAAAGATTTTATAAAAGAAAAGCTTTTGAGGTTGCGGAAAATGTTAATGAGGAAACGTCAAATTGAGACGATTTTGATGTTGCACAACTTCCCATCGATCTTGGATTAAGGACTCCAATCTTGAATTACACTTCTAACATTAGAGATCAAGTTCGAAGAGCATATATGCAAAAGGGTCCTTGTCAGCCGTTTAACCATGAATTTGAGAAAAGACAATTTGNATCTTGAATTACAATTCTAACATTGAGATCAAATTCGAAGAGCATATATGCAAAAGGGTCTTTGTCATCCGTTTGACCATGAATTTAAGAAAAGACAATTTGGAGAAAAAGAATCTGGACGATTCAATCTTTCTTGGTTTAACGAGTTTGATGGTTGGTTAGAGTATAATGTGGCAAAAGAGATAGCTTTTTACTTGTATTGTTATCTTTTTAAAACAAGTGGTGGTGACTCATTTGTTGGTGAAGGATTCACGTATTGGAAAGNACATAATCAAGCTCGCATTAAGTATGAAGCTTTGATGTATCAAGAACAACACATTCAAACGGTTTTCTTCAAATAGTCGAACAAATGAGAAATAAATATCGTGTCCGTCTAATTGCATCAATTGATTGTGTTCGAGTTTAGTTGAGACAAGGGCATTCATTTCGGGGTTATGATGAATCTAAGAATTCTCTGAATTCAGGTAACTTTCTGGTTCAATTACAATTTCTGGCTGATCATAATCATGATGTTAAGGCTGTGATATTTGAAAATGCACCTCAAAATTGCAAATTGACATCCCCAAAGGTACAAAATGATATAATACGTGCTTGTGCTACTGAAATGATAAATGTTATTATCGAAGACGACGGTAATTCATTATTTTCTATCTTAGTTGATGAATCTCGCGATGTGTCACGAAGGAGAAAATGTCAGTTGTGTTACGTTATGTGAAAAATGGGCTTGTAAATGAACGTTTCATAGGTCTTGAATATATGTCCACTACCACAACTGTTTCACTCAAGGCTTCTATTGATAAAATATTTTCTAGATATAATTTAAGCATTTCTAATTTGTGGGGATAAGGTTATGATGGGGCAAGTGATATGCAAGGTCAGTTCAATGGTCTCAAATCACACATTTTAAATGAGAACCCTTGTACCTTTTACATTCATTGTTTTGCACATCAATTTCAACTAGCTCTTGTAGCTGTGGCAAAGAAGAATATGTCGATTACTAATTTCTTTCATATGGTTGCAAATGTGGTAAATAATGTTAGAACATCATCTAAGCGTTGTGATCTTCTTCGAGAAAAACAATCAGATTTTATTGTTGAGGCATAGGATAATTGTGATATTTTAAGTGGACAGAGCCTTAATCAAGAAATCACTTTTCAGCGTTCTGGTGATACTCGTTGGAGATCACCTTATAATTATTTGGTTAGCTTGATTAGCATGTTTACGCTGTTATCGATGTACTTGAAATAATTGTTGAAAATTGATCAAATACTTGTAATAAAAAAAATTGATACATTCAATTTGTTGGAATCAATACAATCTTTTGATTTTGCATTTAATCTACA